CTCAGTCACCCATGTCAGGCCCACAAGGCCAGCAGCCCATACCTTCAGGATGTTTATGGGGGGTGACTGGAATGCAGGGGAGCAGGACCCCAAGGAAACAAGAAGGCCAAAGCATGGATCAGTCATCCCAGGGGGAGTAAGTCAGGGGTAATAACTAGGTGACCACAACAGAGACTCCCTTTTAGTGGTTTTCTGGACACTCAGAACTTGATCTGTCCTATACTATCAGGTTCAAAATACTCCTTGGCTACCTTTCTCTTCCTCCATACACTTTTTTTCCTTCTTTTTATTTATTTATTTATTTGCTGGCACTGGTGTTTGAATTCAGGGCCTTATACTCACTAGGCAGGTACTCTACCACTTGAACCATATCCCCAACACTCCACCATATACAAGTTAAGGTTAGAAAGACCCTAGAAATTATCCAACTTAACTCACTCATCTTATAGTAGAGAGGGAAGGTGTTGCCCCAGCACCAGCCAGCAGGCAGCCTAGGACTGGGGCACAAACTCAGAACCCAGGTCTTCTATGCCACCACCTAGGATGCAAGGCCCTTTCAGATACCCTTCCCCCACCATCTTATCAGAAGAATGTCCTATCTAATCTTACTGCCTCTTATCTCTTCTCTATATTTAACCAGAGAATTCTTTCTAAGCATAAATGCTATGCTACCTGCCTAAAACCTTTCCTTGCTCCCCACTGCCTTAGGGTGAAAAGATACCCATACTCTTTCCTACTGCCCTCAGTCCTGCCACCTGTCAGGTTCTCTCTCTTCTTTACCTCATGTAGTGTAGTAATCTCATGCTCTTGAACCACTTGTAGTATCTGGATGTGAAAAGGTCTGTTCCACCAGGCATGGTGGTTCACACCTGTAGTCTCAGCTACTCGGAGGCTAAGATTGGGAATATTGCAGTGTGAGGCCAGCTAGGGCAAAAAGTTAGTGAGCCCCCATCTCCAGACTAAGCTGGGTGTGGTGATACACACCTATAATCTCAGCTAGGCAGGAGGCATAAGTTGGAAGCTGGTGTGGGCAAAAACATAAAACCCTATCTGAAAAATAAAGAAACAAAAAAGGCTGTGGGGCAGGTGTGGATCAGCAGCTAGTAAGTCCAAGGCCTTGAGTTCAAACCCTAGTACTTTAAAAAAAAAAAAAAAAGGAAAAGTTCTGTTCCAACTCTAAGCCTTTGCCTATGCTGTTCCCTCTGCCTTTAACAGTCTTCACAAACAATCATCAGTGTCCATCTTCCTATCTTCCCAAGAATGGCCTTCCCTCCCCATGAAGTAAGTGTATCACCATGAATGACTTCTTCTGGAACCATCATTTTGGTTCCACAGTCATCACATGTTTTCTCATGCCTCTGTGTCTTTGCAAATGGTGTTCCCTCTCCCTAAAATGCCCTTATCCAACATTCCTGTTCACAAAACCCCTCTTTATTCTTTTTAACCCTTCATATCTGTGATCTTTGTCCTGACTGACACCCTCCCATCCCAGCTGGGTGATCACTTCCCGATCCTCAATTCCCCCTCATCTTCCAGGATTCCTTCCTCCAGGTCCATATCCAATTATGCTGTAATTGTGTGCTTCTGTCTGTCTGGACTATGACTCTCCATGGGGCCAACATGCCATTTCAGGGAGGCGGGACTGGAGTACAACTCAAACCTTCAAAGCTGAAAATGAACCATTTGCTTTATATCACACCTGAAAAAATATTACACTAACACAGAATGCCCTAGAATGTATTTCAAGGAGACCTAGTTCTGTAACTACCCCACTACCCAGATAATTTCATGGTCAAACACATTTGGAAAATAGGATAAATATATCTTCCTGGTAGTGATTCATAGCACACATTCATCCTTTGATTCACCTGCTTCCTATGTACTAGTTTCCCTTTGCAGTGCTAGGTACGATGTCCAGCACTAAAGCCTCATCCCCAGCCCTCCTTTGTGCTGGGGCTGTGCTTGGTACCCAGGCTATGGCAATGTGCCAGTGTTGGGGCAGAACTTTTGCACATTGGAACTTTACTTGTTCAGAGGTCTTAGTTCTCAGGAAGGAACAGCCCCATCAGATGATGCAATGATGGGTCCATTCAATTGGCTCCTTTGGCCACTAAAACAACAAACAGAGAGGGGAATACTGTACTTGTTGTCATGATTGTTCCTGGTTGCTGGGGAAACTGGGTGGCTGCTGTAGTCTTTCTTTCCTTCTGGGGTTGTTACAGTGTTGTGATTCTCCCTCAACATCTTGAAATAGAGTGCCACCCATACATATCGGGAGGGCAAAGTGGCCACTATACAGAATCCAAGGAATTCTTCGCAGCACCCCTTGGTATACTTCCACTGCCAATAGTAAAAGCTAATGAAAAACAAAGCCAACAAACTAACCAGCCAAACTGTTTTGGTTTGTACTTTTGGGCAAGACTAGTCAGGATTCAGAACCTTCACAAATGAAGGTTTGGGTCACCCTACCAGATTAAAAAAACAAACCAAAACAGACCAATGGGAGTGTAAGGGAACATGGAATGGTCAGTGAAAGAAAGAATTTATATCATCTTTCACCTCATATGGAGTGGTTATATGGTTTTCTTCCTTGCTTGTATGTGTAGGTATACCGTTATATCATCCATCTTTCTGTTTATCCGTGTACACATTTGCTTTACTAGTTTCTTTTTTGTCCACTTTCCCCATATTATTTCACAGAAGGATTATTGGTAGTGGTTTATAGGTTATAGAATATAACCAACAAGACTGTTTAGGAATAACATTACTCAAAGATGGATACAATGTCTGCTGGGCTTCTGATCTTCTTTTGAGGTTTGGGGGAGGAGAGAATATACTTGTATTAAAAAGAAAGATGGTTGCAACTTGGCATACAAGAAAACACATTCATATTACACAGAAAAGGACATTCCTTTGTTGTTGGGACAATCTGTAGAAGAGCTTGTGGGGATGCTGAGCACTGAAAGGGTGGGCTGGGCCAGCAGAAGCTACTGAAACCCCCCTTCTGCATTCTGCCTTGCCATGCTGGGACTGGAACTAACTGGAACACATTCCCGCTGTGCCCTGGCACCCTGTTAGCAGTGGCAATGCAGAGGTGCAGAGGAGTTGCACTCCTTTCTGTCTTGCTTTTGGTTTGTGCTAGTATGGCTCCGCAGTGGCATTTCACATCCAGTGCCTACTTTTGCTCCACATGCCCAGAATCAACACCACTGTCTTGGAGGACTGCTGGGCAGTGCTCCCCCGTCCCCCCCACCCCCCCCAGAGCTGCCAAGGAACCAGCTCCACCTGGGAAATGCCTTCTTCTTGGAGGTCTGGGCCGCAGCACCTTGGGACCTCCACTAACCTTGCAGGTTCTCAGAACCCAGGCTCTTGCCCTTGGTTGCAGGCCTTGTGCGGGAGCTTCCTCCTGCAGTGACTTCTTCCTTTTGCTTTCTCAGCTCTCCAAGGGCCATTCAGCTGAGCTCTGATATAACAGTTCTTTCTGTTTCTCTGACTGGCCTCTGACAACATAAGTGGAGAAAAGACAGAGTCCTTTCTCACATGGGCCTGACAGGCATTCAGCAAATAGTGACAGAGATGAGTATGTAACATAGTTGAAGTAATGCCATGAAGGGAAAGGCCAAACCACATTAGCATGTTAAAGGCCCCAGAAGCCATTGTTTAATGGTATATCTCCTTAGCTCATTTGATCAAGAAACTTCACGGTGAGCCTGTTAATACCCAGCAGAATTAGTGTTCTACAGCGCAGTTCCCCATGTTCACAGAAAGTCATCAGAGAACTAGGAGCCAGAACACTCAGATCAGTATTTGCCATGTTCTTCTAGTAGCACCATCTTCAGGATTCCAGCCACAGAATCAGCTGACAGTTCCCATTGTTCTTATGCCAGCCCCACAAGGTGACTTTCTGATCCTCTTTGACCAATCCAGTAAATTCTCTGGAGGGAGAGGATGCCCTTCACAGCCAGCATAGCCAGTCTGATCTACCTGACAATTTCCTTCTCAATGTAGAGCATGGTTTCTTGCTCTACAAGTCTTTATGGGCACCATTGATCCCTAAAGACTACAAGCAAACTGTGTGTGTGTGTGTGTGTGTGTGTGTGTGTGTGTGTGTGTGTGTGTGTGTGTGTGTGTGTGTGTGTGTTTGGGAAGAGGTTATTATGCTGGTAAGACTGTGACTCCAGGAAAGGGAAAGGTTAGGGGTTGATGCATAACAGGAAAATGCTCATGTTCTTATTTACATTGGTCTCCTGTGAGTTAAGTCAATGTAAATCAGTTCTCAGTTCCATCAGCCTGAGTTCACTCACCAAACTGAAGTTCTAGATCCTCCAGCTGACAGAGGGGTCAAACAGCCTTCCTGGACCCCATAGTATTGCTACCTCTAGACCTGTGCCTGTGCTTTTTTGTCTGGCTGGGAAACCCTCACTCCATGCTTGTGGTCAACTCTTAGGTCTCAGGTTACTTTCTGTGGTGTACCAGTTCTGGATTAGGTACTGCTTCATGGTATTCCCACAGTATCACTCCTACCTCTCTGGGATGCCCATTTCCCCTCCCTGCAGGGCCATGGTTTTCCTTTTAATTAGTGCTTATTCTATAGTGTAAGTAACTGTTTACAGATTTGTCCACTGCCTGTCAGAACATCAGCTCCATGGGAAACAGATCTGTGTCTAGCTTTGCTGTTTTACCCTACCACCAAGTACAGTGTCTAGAATAATGTAGGGATCCATTAAATACTAATTGAAGAAATATATGCAAAAATAAATACTTGAGTCCTTTTAACGCTACACTTATGAGCTATCACAGACCACGAATGTTCTTCACCTCACTCATGGCAGTATATGGACTTGAAGTCCAAATAGTAAAACACCCATATAATTGATTTTGATCTTTTCTCAGCAAAGGCTTCTTTCTCATCAGATGCATGTATGTGTGTGCACACACATGTGAGCTCGGCCCTGGATGGAGAGAAGAGAACGCCTGCTGCAGAGTCAGTATGAACCTACCTGCGTTTCTCAGGAAGCAGCTCCTGTAGTCCTTGACGACCCTTAAGTCTGGGTTGTAGAAGCCGTCTCCGCAATCATAACAGCCCGTGGGAATTTTTCTAGGTGGGTCCATGTTGGTGAGTTGAGAGATACCTTGAAAGGGCATAATAGATAATTAGTTCACCACCAAGGTCACATCCAAACCCAGCACTTGCATGAGATCCACCTTTGGCTGGCAGTTCGTGTGACCAGTTCCACTGATGGACTAAACACTTCCTATTCAGGGAAGGGAACAAACTCAGCAGGAAGAAAGCCCTGGAGAGCTTTCTGAAAATGGGTTTGAGGGAAGGGTCTTGGGCAGTACAGCCCCTTCTTTCCTGATCCCATTCTCCTCCATTTCTTGGGATGCCATGACAAAGGGTACAGGTTTTGGAGTCAGAGAGCCCTGAGGGTGAGTCTGAGTTGGCAAGGTGAATAGGAGGGTAGGTCCAGGACAAGGATGGCATTCAAATTGTGGACAAAGGCCACAGGTATGAACTCTCTAGCCTTACACAGGAAACCTGTGGAACAGAGCACAGATAAGGGACAACATAGAAGAGAAATGGGTCAGGTAGACAGAAGTGGGTAATGGAGAACTTTGATTCTCACCAAAATTACCAGTGTCTGTCATTTATTCAGAGTTTATTAAGTGCCAGGCTTTATGCTTTTCTTGTTTCATTTACCCTTCAGAGAAACCCTGCAGCTCCATTTTACAGGCAAGAAAATTGATGATCAGAGATGCCAAGTAACTTGCTCAGGCTCAGTGCTATTGAGCCAGGAAGCAGCCTGGCTCTGGCACCTGTGTGCTACATGCCCACATCAGGGAAGGAGAGAGCTTGAGTGTGTCCCAAGTCAGGGACTCTGGAGACATCCCCCAGGGAGGGAAAGAGGAATCAGTACACCTTTAGGTCATGTTCCCCATGTGTGTATCTTGGGATGTCATGGTCTGAGTAAAGGCAGAAGTTGGAATAAATAACTTCTCAGCTTCCTTCGAATGACAGATCCTGTAATTCCCTGTTCTGTTGACAGAGTCCATTGAGCATAAAGTAATATGCTCACAGCTCAGTGTCCTGAACACAGTACATGCTCTAATGTTGACTAATGATACTCCTAACTCTGACCCTGACCCTGAGACCTGACACCAATCCCATGTATATTGACTAATGATCACTGGCTGTTTATTCCAGGCCAAGTGCATTATAGTCATTCTCTCACTGATGCCTTAGGCCCACGCCCATCTCAGAGATGCTCAGAGAAGTCAGGGGTCACCCTTATCACCACCTTGCCATACAAGCAGGACAGCAGAGCTGCCCTAACAGTACCTGCCCTGAGGCAAGATGCAGAGTGATATGGGAAAAAGTGTCCTCTTAGGATAAAGCTGGTCTGCGAGGAGTCTGAAGGGGAAGGCCAGGCAGGTGTAGGAAAGGCCACCATGCTGCCTTGAGACTGACAGACTGTGCTTTAGTGAAACCAGCTGTCATCTGAGAGTGGAGGGTTGTTTGCCCAAAAGCCTCAGATGGGGTGAAGAGTCCGTGACAAAATCTAGGCCTCAACATAACTAGCCTAGGATTTGCAATTTGCAAGTTTCCCAAGTTGAATCTAGACTAGTAGTTCTTAAAGTCAGAGACTGTCCTCTTAGCTCTGGGACCCCCTGGGGCTAGCCAGTATTTGACATGGAGCAAGTGAAAATGTCATTGCCTTAATTCCCCAGGTGCACCCCTCCCTCTACTGTGATATCAGTATTATCTATCTTACCCCCAACCCCAATACCAGGCAGTGTGCCAGGCACTGGGGAGGCAGCTGGGAATACCACCCAGACTCCCCTCATGTTGCTTGCTCACAGCTAGCTTGGGAAGTCAGACACTTATGTTCCTGATCTGAGCTCATGGCTCAGAGGAGGGTCATGGCTCCTTGGAGACATGGCATAGGGAGACCTCACCTAGTCTAGAATTCAGCGGAGTGGGTCCTGGAAAAAGGGACATAAAGCTAAGACCTGAAGGATGGGCAGGAGTTATTTGGATGAGGTGGGAGGATTAGAGCATTCTGGCAGAGGGATGGCAGGAAAAGGTGTGGTCTCTTTGAGGAACAGATAGGAAGCATGAATGGTGAGCAGGGAGAAAGAAAAGCTGGGGGAGGTGGGCAGTCTGGGATGAGGCTGGAGACATTGGCAGGAGTAGAAAACATGAGTAGTTTTGAGAATTTGGAGCTTTACCTTGAAGGTAGGAGGAGGCACTGACTGTGTGGAGGGCATGGGGTGGCAACCAGAGTTAGACAGACACAGAGGGGGCCACCAGGAGTCTTGGGAAATCAGGTATTCCAGAGAAGCAATGAAGGAGGTCTGGAACAGGACAGTGGCAGAGAAGGAGGAGAAAACTGCTTGGCACTTTGGTTTATGTTGAATGAAGAAATGAAGGAAAATATTTAAGAGGCAGAATTCACAGGGTCAGGTGATCAATTGCCCGTGGAGAAGGGCAGGGGAGGGGTAGACTTGCCTAGGTGAATGGACATGACATTCACTAAGGTAGCCAGCACTAAGGTAGCCAGCACTGGGGAGAGTGGGTTGATGGGGATGATAATGAATTCAGTGCAGACAAGTCGAGGGATGCCTCATACAGGGGTTGGGGAGCTGGAAATAGGAATCTGAGGCTGAGGGACTCTGATAGTAATCTGGAGATCAATGGCAATTGAAGGCTTAGATGTGTATCAACTTCTTTAGTAAAAATAACAGAAAAGGGCTAGGCAGAGAGCCCTGACATTAATAAGGGGGGGGGTACTGAAGAGGGAGAAATTGAGGACTGTCAGGAAGGCCAAGAAGAGAACGCAGCTTACCTGGTACGTAACTGAACTAATGTCACAAAGCCAAAATGTGAAAGAGTTGGGATTTAAGCTCAGAAAGCATGGGTGCTTTCTGGATGTTTTTGCTCTAATGGAACTGACTTGTCCAGGCTTGGTCAGTCTCTGGGAGGGCATGCTAGGACCCAAACTCAGATCTTTTGGCTCCAGGCTCTCTCAACTGCCCTGCATGCTCTCTTATAAGTTAGGTTGGGATTCTTCTTACGGTGCACAAAGCTATTTTGCCATCTGTCATTTTGGATACATAGTCTCTGCTGTGCCCACAACTTATGCTTTTCTTGAGGTTCATCTGACCTCACACACTTCTTAAAAACACAGAGTGACTCTTAAGTTGCCACTCTCTGAAGCCAGGTCCTTGGCCCAAATGTAGCCCTATGTGATGGAAGATGGCTTTTTCAGGGAGTTATCATGATACAGTTGACCTCAGAAAGGAAGACTGGGACTCCAACACTCCCTCTACTACTGGGAAACATGTCAGGACTTCCAGCCTCAACTTTCTCCAGGCAAAGGCCCTCTGGAGAGTCAAGGAGACAGGGCTTACAAAGAGTCTCACTCAGCACCTGGTCCACAGAGCACAAGCTCTGCAAGTGCTGCTCTTCGCCTTTCTCTCTCTCTCTCTTTTAAATACTTGCATGTTTTTAGGGCTGCAGTAGGTACCATGAAGAAGAACAGCTTACATGTCCCCTGTAGCTGCCATGCTTATAAGGCACTGTTCTAAACACCTTCCATAAGTCGTCTCACTGAAAACAATCTTGTGAGGTAGATGGTGCTATCATTCCCATTTCAAGGGGTGGGGGCACTGAAACCCAAGAAGGATGAAGTTTCTTGCTCACTGTCCCAGTCAGTCCAGTAGAACTGAGATGTGAGGACTGGCCTTTCTAGGACCTGACTCTTCTGTGTTCTGCTGCATCTCACCAGTTCCTCTACTCCTTTGAGTTACTTCAGTGAGCCCCAGGCACTCATTTAAAACTGCCTTTAGTTTCCTTTTCAGTTTGGGTGTGAAGGAAAGGAAGGGGGCCTAGGTACCTGAAGGCTTCAAGCCATAGCAGATCTCAGTGTAAAACCTCCGGTCATAGCTGTCACAATAATGCCAGTTCTTGTCATCATACTGCAGCCCATCTGCAAAGGTATACGTGCCCTGGAAGACAAGGAGCACACATGCATCTGAGGAAGCCAAAACATTTTGCCAAGGCCAGTGTCAAGGAAAGAGGTGGCTTCTTATTTCTACCTGCCATTGTAATAACTATCACAATGACTATGGTTGTAAGGATTAGAGGGAGTGGATATAAAGCACTGAGCTCTGTGCCCACATGGTCACTCTCTGTGTGAACTTGGGCGGATGACTTACTCCCTCAGCCCTCAGTTTCCTCATTTGTACAATTAGGATAATGGTCATGCATATTTAATAGGGGTGACTGAGAATTCAATGAAATGGTACATGTGAAGCATTTAGCACAGTGCCTGACTGTGATGGTTAATTTTATGTGTCAACTTGACTGGGCTAAGGGCTGCCCAGAGAGCTGGTAAAACATTATTTCTGAATGTCTATGTGAAGGTGTTTCCAGAAGAGATTAGCATTTGAATCAGTAGACTGAATAAAGAGGAGCACACTTACCCACGCAGGTGGGATCATCCAACCCTATCAGGGCCTGCATAAAACAAAAGGCAGAAGGACCACTCTACTCTGCTTGAGCTGGAACATCCATTCCTTCCTACTTTGAGCATCAGTGCTTCTGGTTCTTAGAACTTGAGACTCTGACTGGGACTTAAACCATTGCTTTTCCAGATTCTCAGCCTTTGAGTTTGGACTAGAACTACCACTGGCCTCCAGCTTGCAGAGGGCAGACTGTGAGGCAGCTTTCATAATCTCATGAACAAATAATCTCTTTTTAATAAATCTCTATCAATCTATAACCTATTGGTTCTGTTTCTCTGGAGAACTCTAATATGTAACATACATAACATGACTGTTATTCTTCTTTTAATATTAGCATAGCTAGGAAGAGCATAGTCATCAGCCATGGCCCTTTGTCCAAATACATGCATTCTACTTTTGTTGCTTCACAGATAAAGGGAAACTCAGGATGTAGGAACTGCATTGGCCTAGGCATCAGGAAGCATGCGTGGAAATTCCCACAATATTATTAGTTCCCTATGTGACCTTGGGTAAGTCACTTCCCCTTCCTGGGGCTTAGATTCTCCAAGCTATAAAACAAGAAGTGTTTCTTAACTTTTTTTAGGTCATGAGTCAGGACCAACACACTCTTAGTAGCACTGACTGAAATATAGTCCCAGATACACAGAGATTTTTGTATGTAAGTCAGGAGAGCTCTCTGACCCCTGAATTCTATTCATGGTAGATAAATCCTAGGTTCAGAATCATTGGATTAGATGATTTATAATGAAAGTAGGTGATGGTAGTAACAGTAAGAGATAACACTTATTGAGTGCCTACTGTGTGCTAGGAACTTGGCTAAGTGCCCACATGTTTTGGTAATTCACGCTTAACAACCATCCTAGGTAATGCATGGCACTATTGTGTAGGCTGAATAACAGTCCCCAAAGATGTCCACATCTGCTGGAACTTGTGAATTTGTCATCTCACATGGCAAGAGAGACTTTGTAGATGCAGTTAAGTGAAAGATTTCGAAGTGGGGAGATTGTCCTGGGTTATGTGAATCACAGGGTTCTTCTGAGATGGAGGTAGAAAGGGCTAGGTGAGAGAACAAGGAATGATGAGAAAAGCAGAGGGGAGGTGATGTGCTGTGGAAAGCAGAGGTTGGGATGATACATGGTCATGTGTCAAGGGAACAGATTCTCCCCAAGAGCCTGCACAAGGAATGTAGCCCCATGGACCTGGCTTAGACTTCTGGACCTCCAGAACTGCAGAATAATAAATTTGTACTGATTTAAGGTAATAAATCTGTGATCATTTGTTACAGCAGCAATAGGTAACCAAGACAACTGTTGTCCCCAGTGTACAGATGAAGAACTTGAGTCTTCAAGAGGTAAAGTCATGGGTCAAGGATCAGACAGTAAGTAGTATAAGAGGACTTGAATTCATGTCCTCTGCTGGACTCTTCCTGATCCAGAGAAGAAAATTCTAGAATCCTGGGAAATAGAGAAGCAGGGAAAAGAGGTGATGGGAGGTACCAGACAGGAAGGGCGGTGTGCCACAGAAGTGGGGGCAGTGCCTGCCCAGGCTCTCCCTGCTACAACCCCAATCAATCACCTTTACGACCAAGCCTTTATCCCAGGTGGCGTCAAATCGGCTGCCGCTGGGAAAGTACAGTGTTCCCTCGCCGTGAAACATGCCATCCTTCATTTCCCCAACATAGCTTGTTTCTGTAGGGAGGATGTACTTGGCTTTGCCCTCCATCCTGTAAGGATATAGGGAAATCTTAAGCCCTGAATGCTAGCTGTAGGGACAGTGAGCAGGGATCTCATCCTAAGATGTTATCATCCAAGCAATATTCTGTCTAAAAACAAATTTTTTGTTTTGTTTCCCTCAAAACCTCAAAGATGTTGTTCAGGAGGGAGCAGTGTTTGGTCTATTCATCTTCCCCTCACCTACAGGGTATCCTGGAGTTCACACTATTCACTGAAATACTTCCTTGGTTAGCCCAGAGAGGGTTGGTATGTACCCAAAGCCACACAGCAGAAACTGTGAAGCAGGGAAGCTGATTTTGTCACTTCCTTACCCCCATGATTGCCCACCCCTGCCCATTAAACCACATTGCTTGAAAACATGTGAAATTTACAAGATATTGGGGCTTGAATCATCACCATTTTCTAGTTGTATCATCTTGGACACTTTCCCACACTTCTATTTATCTCTTTTCCCTCTTTCCCTCCTTTCCTTCCAGTTAATATTTTCAGAGCACTTGGTATGAGCCAGGTGCTGTGCTGGCATCCAGGCCTGCTAGATACAACACAGATAGAACAGTGATGGAGGCAGCTGCAGTCCCTGTCCTCAGGAGGCTCACAGTCTAGTGGGGACACAGGAAGCAATTGCACAACTTGTATGGGAGCAATGGGCTGGAATGCCAGCTTGACCAGTGGGCCAGCTTGGCTATGGGCACAATGGCTGAGATTAATGCCAAGATGAACCCAGATGATGTTCCCGGTTTTCCTAGTGAAGGACGGTGAATGCTTCAGAAATGTGCTTCCATTCATTCCTTCTCCATTTCTCCCCACTGGGCTCAAGTCACCTCCCAAACTCTGATCTTCTTGAGGTTTCTGTTGGTACCTCTGAAGGGAGCCTCATCACCTTCTACCCGGCATGGCGGTTGCACACCTCATCTCTTGTGTTTAATCACAGCTTCTCTCGTGAGAGGGACACCTTGTTCTCTTCATCTCTTAGGACCATACTTCCTTCTTAAAGAGGCCCCTATAAATATCTCCTGAGTAAGGAATGAAGGAAACAGGTCAATGAGCTGATGGGATGGAGGACAGGAGGTGCTGGCCACAGGCCCCAAGCAGGAGTGTGCTGTGGTGGAGGTGCAGCTTCTGGTGCAGGCTGGTTCTACCTCTCCATGCCTCGGTGACCTGCTCTGCCTTCCTTGTTCCCTTCCCCTCTCCCTCTTTCCATTCCTCTTTCCTTCCCTTCATCTCTCCCTCTTCCTCTTTTCTCTTCCCTTCCCCTCTCCTTCCTTCCTTTCTTCTCTCCCTCCTTCACTTCCTTCCTTGCGCCTTCCCTTCTATTTTTTTATCCAGTCAAGATAAAAAGCCTTCATTCTAATTTCAAAACTTATTTTGATTTCTCTCCAGATCATACAAATTTTTCACCTTTTACTGAATTCAAACCAGGTTAAAAAGAACCACTTAATAATGAAGGCTTCCATCCATAATGAGGACATGAATATTTTGTCTCAAATATCATTCATTCTTTTTTTTATTATTGTTGTACTGGGGTGATTTGACATTTATAAACGTTCTTACAATATATCATGGTTGAATTCACCCCTGCCATCATTTTCCTTTATCCCCCTTCCCCATTCATTCTTTTATTAATCCATTCAGCCACAATTTAGTGAACTATGAGGAGGGCTACAGAGATGAAATAGGGATTTCCTAAAGCTGGGCCCTACCAAAGGTCTTTCAGTGACTCCACCATCTCCAGAATTGCATGAAGCACCGAAATCTCTGCCAGAGAACTACCCACCTACCCAGCTTCCCTGCCCACAGCCCTCTAGACACATCTACCTTTAGCCAAGCCAATAGCCTGTTCTTCCCCACACATGCCCTCTGAGCTGTTGGTCATGCTATTCCCAAGCCTTCTTCATCTTGCCTCTATACCCACAAGAATACTACCCAACTGTCGGGGCCCATTCCAAATATCTCCTCCTGAAACCTTCAAAGACTGCCCCAGCTGGGCATGTCCTCTTGAGAGGCCCAGCAGCAGGGCTCTACAGTAGAAAGCACTGGGGGGCAGAGGGGCTTAGAGTAGGACAGGCCTGGGGTATAATCTTTGCTCTGACAAATGCTAACTAGATGACTTTGGGCGAATGATGTAATTACTCTGAGCCTTACTTTTCCCATCTGTAAAACAGGATAATGGTATCTATCACACAGAATTGCTATAGAGAAGGGAAGAGGCAGGCAATAATCCCTGGAGCATAGTGGTTGCTATGTAAGTTATTGGTCTTCTTTTGTCCTGTATTTGTAGGTCTTCTTTGTCACTTACCTTGTTCTGGTTTGCAGTGGAATTATCTAGAATCGTGCACCTCTTCCATAGAAACCATGATCTTGAAGATTAGTCAGATCCTACATTAATTTTTTAATGCTTTTATATTTACTCATGGTACAGGGAAATCATGCCTTTTAATGTTTTGATAAAAACAGCTTTATTGGAGTACAATAGACACAGAATAAATTATGTATCTTTAAAGTGGAAATGTACAATTGTATGTTCTAACATACACCTGAGAAACCATTAGCATAATCAAGACAATTAATATATCTGTTACCCCAAAAATTTCTGCATGCCCTTGTATAATCCTTCCTGCTTGCCTTTACCTATAGTCTTCCTCCCCAGGCAACCACTGATCTGTTTTCTGCCACCACAGACTACTTTGCATCTTCTAGAATTTTATATGAATTGCATCATATAGTATGAACTCTTTTTGTCTGGCTTCTTTTGTTCAGTGTAACCTTTTTGAGATTCATTCATGTTGTTGCTATGTGTACCAATGGCTTACTCCTTGTTTATAGCTGTGTACTATTCGAGTGAATGGATATACCACAATTTGTTTATCCATTCACCTACTGATACACTTTTGTGTTGTTTCCAATCTTCAGTTATTACAAAGAAAGTTTCTATGTCTGTGTATAAATATATACTTTTATTTCTATTGGATTAATACCTAGGAGTACCATGTATATTTAACTTTTTAAGAAATTGACAAACTTTTCCAAAGCAGTTGTGCCAAGTTATACTCCTGCCAGCAGTAGATAGTCTACACAAACCAGTTGTTAAATTTTAATTTTCTATTGTATTGAGAAGCTATTCTGTTATTTGTGATACTGGGTTTGAACTCAGGGCCTCATGTTTGCCAGGCAGGCATTCTTATCACTTGAGCCACTCTTCTAAAAGGAAATTACCCTCTCTCAACCAAAAAAGTAAAAAAAAAAAAATAACATTCATGTGTGCTCCATTATGTATGCCTTGGAACACTCCTGCTGGATGTGCATTGTTTCCCATTTTACAGGGGAGGAAACCGAGGTATACAACCAGCAAGTGGTAGCCTTGAGCCAAGGTCTGTCTCATGCTGAAGCCCTTTATCCTGTCACTTTCATCACAGGCTGAAATCAGAAAGGCCCCAGATGACTCTAGTTACCTGTTATTAAAAAGCAAAAGCAATACAGAATGCATAGACATATATGAAAGAATTATAACAGGCAACATAACCACTGACTTTTTGCCAGTTATTGAAATTAAGAAAACCTCTTCAGGTCTGGAATTCCCTACTTTGGTTACAGTAGTATCAAAAACTCCCAGGCAGGGGATCACAAGTTTCCGGGTCCCCCTGCATTCCCCAATATGCAGTCTTTCTCTTCTCTTTTCTCCAACTAAAATCTCCACAAATAAAATCTTTCTGACCTTTAAAAAAAAAAAACTCCCAGGCAAAACAGCTTCTTGTGAACAAAAATATGGGAATGACTGATGCAATACACAGACTAAGTGAAAATGCACAGAAGGACTTCTGTCCTTGATCTTGTTGTCTATAGGTGTCTCATACACACAGAGAGAAAAGAAGTGTAGTTCTCAAATTTTTGTGCCTTTTATAAAATGTCTGATTCCCTCACCTCTATCTGACAAAACTCTACCACTTTTGCTGGAGCAGTTTCTTGAGGGAGAAGAAATAATATGGCTTGAATACAGAACTGGATTCAAATTCTGACTCCATCCTTTCCTAGCTGTGTATCAACAATGGCGGGCAGGTAATTTTGCATAACCTCAGTTCCTTATTTGCAGCCTGAACTACTCACAGTTGCGTATATACACCAAGCATCTCTACCACTTATCTGATGAGTTGGACAAGGGTCTTGAGTCCTGTAAACCTCCCTTGTATAATCTCTGTAGTGGAGATAATAACACCTCCCTTCATCCAATATATTCTAACACCTCTAGGAATCTCTCTCTCTCTTTGGAGACAGGGTTTTACTATGCATTCTAGGCTGGCCTCAAACTCATGATCCGTCTGCCTCAGCTTCCCACTGCTGTGATTACAGCCGTGCACCACCATGGCTGACTTCTGCTCTCTCCACCACAGTACTGACTACACTGAATTGTGGTTACCTGTGTTCTTCCTATCTGCCCCACCATATTTGAATGAATTTTTTTTTTGAAGGCAGGGATTATGACCAGTGTCAAGTCCAGGATCTGGTACTTGGAGGATGATTACCATTTGTTGAATCGAATAGCTCTTACTGTTAGTCCTTTAGCGTGATTTGTGTAGATAATTGTAATAATCCTAGACTGTGAATTTGTGAAGGAGGAGGCCATGTACAGTTAGAGCTCTGTATCTGCAAGGTTCTTTTCCTGTGGATTCAACCAACCATATATTGAAAATACAGATGTCCCTTGGTATGGAGGCATTGGTTCCAGAACTCCATCAGACATGTGCATGCTCAAGTGCGTTATATAAAATGACATAGTGTTTGCATTTAGTTTACTGCATATCATTCATGTATATTTTAAATCTTATCCAGATTATTAACACCTAAGAGAATGTAAATGACATGCAATTAATTGTTATATTATATGGCTTAGGAAATAATGAGCAAACAAAGCCTGTACATGTTAAGTAAAGAAACAATTTTTCTCCCCAAATGTTTTCCATCCCTGATGTGGAACCGCCAATAGAAAAGGAAATCCACGTGGGGTCCTGGGACCAATCCCCTGAAGATACTGAGGGACAAATTAGCCACAGTCTCCCTTCCCCAATCTCCAAGTTTATTTTCATAGCCTTTCTGGCTACGTGACATTATTTTCTCATTTAATTTGTTTAGTGCCAATAAAGCTCCAACTAGATTATAAACTCCATGAGAGTAAGGATCTTGACATTGTTAATATTATCCCCATAACTAAAACCGACAGATGGAACACACACACACACACACACACCCCTTGTATGGGAATGAATGAATCTCAGCTCTGCTGCTTATTACATGTGTGTTCCTGAGCAAGTTGCTTAAGCAAGTTTTGAAAGTATCTGGTACAAGTTCCTTCGCAGAGGAAAAAAGACAGCCGTCTTTTTCCAAATATTCAAGATACAGAGAATCAAATGAAGACCTTACCTCCCGTCTACATATTCCCCGATATACTGGCTCCCAGTGTACTCCATAGCACCAGCTTCTACTTTCCAGCTGTTGGGATCCCAGTCTCAGTGGATACTGCCTCACTATGACAACCAGGGGGTGGGCGGAGCCAACGCGAGGCCACGCCCCCGGGCGCTCCGCACTTCCTGGTAGCGCACGCTCCGTCTGTCGCGGTTGGGCAAAGCAGTGCGCATGCGTGCCGCTGGCTGCGTACGCGCAGGCGCTGTGTGGGCTGCATCGGCGTTGGAAAGGGGAGTTCAAGGAGACCCGGACAACGCGGCTGAGGGCACCTGGTCAGGGTCGGGGCTGCAGCCGTCATGCCTGGGATAGTGGAGCTGCCCACTTTGGAAGAGCTGAAAGTAGACGAGGTGAGGCTCGTCCGGAGGGCAGGCAAGAGGGGCCCAGGGTTGCAGCTTCCCAGGCCTGGGCCCAGCCAGCTTCATTTCTGCGGACCTTGGGCACCGGCTACGGTTCCCCGACCCCAATGCACACACACCCAGGTCCACCCCAAAAGTCCCCTGCAGTCCTGGAGTCATCCCTGTATCCCTGATATCGCAATCCGATGTGGCTCTAGACACCCCCTCCCCACCCAGGCGACCTGCTTCTCCTTCCGTAAATAGTAAATGCTTTCTCTTAAGCATCAGCCACTTTAGTTACTTTGTATTTCTCAGACCTCTCTGAGGTGTGTGTACCGCCCCAGGAGCGCACACTCGAGGCAGACAGACCGTCGCCTTAAAGTGTCTTTGGTGCAAAGCGAAATCAAGTGGAGTCAGGGAGCCGCTGGAAAACGCGATGATACTGGAGAGAGTTTGCTAACAGCCGTGGCGAGGTGTTTGGTAACAGGACATTTTAAAGCAATGATTTACTCAAGAGATGTTTGAATAATTCTCATGTGCACATACACTGAAAAGTAAGAAAGTCCCTGCTGTCATAGAGTTTGTAATCTAATAAGGAAACAAAGAGACAATTGCAATACAATGTAGTTATGGCTATGAGAAGTGAAGACTAACATGAACGAGCCATTTCTAAAGGAAAGCCATGCAGGATACTGATGATTATTTCGAACATATTAATTCATGGAATCTTTAACATCAGGTAGGATATAATTGTTCTTTCCATGGTGTAGATCGGAAATAGGCCCTGAGGAGAAGTGATTTGCCCAAGGTCACACTGCTGGTATGTAGTAGACTTGGAACATGAATCCAGGTCTGTCTTTACAGTATTATATTATGGGCAAAAGCTCAACAGTGAGAAGGCTTAGCAGAACCTTGTGTTTAGAAAACCAAGTGCTGTTTGATGTGACCCTAGTGTTGGTAGTGGTACTGACCTGGAGTGGTACTTTAGGATGAGGTAGGTCTTGGAAGTAACCTTCATAAAGCCAGACCAAGTGGTTTGGACTATATCCTGTAAGAGAGGTGGTGGGAAGGAGGTGGAAGTTATTAAGACTAATGACTGTCATGGCAGGAGTGGGTAGTAGAGCAGGCAATACTAAAGGAGAGGGAGAGCAGGACTAAAATTTATGTGCCAGAAATTATGTGCCAGGCAGTGTTGAGTGTTTTATCTGCATCACTTCATTTAGTCTTCTATGTCCCTGAGAATGGCAACTGTTCTTTTCCTCAGCTGAAGAGATTATTAGCTGTATTTAAGGAGTATATAATAAAGTGACATTACTAAGGTGGCAGGAGGGGTGCTCCATGGAGCCAGTCATTTATTTCTTATCCCACTGTGAAGCTGGGTTAAACTTGAGTTCTGTATTTGTAATTTGGTTCTGTTTCATGCAAGCGTTCTCTATCTGCAATAAATCTGCCTTCAAGATTTACACAACTGAGTTGAGATACAGATAATTACATAAACAACTAAAATATAATACAATATAAGACAACTGTGATTAAATACTGTGAAAGAGGGGCAAACATGGTTTAAGAAATGAGTAGGATCTGAGGCTGGATCTAAATTCTAGGCTGAACTACTTGGTCACCTTGATTAGTCACTTTCAGCATTTGCAGATCCAGGTTTTTGTTTGTAAGAGAAGGCAATTCCAGCTGTGCAGTTCTCTGCAGCTACATAGGGAATAGAGAAAGTACTTCTTGGACATAGTGTACAACATCTGAAGACAAACTTTTTTGTGGCAGAGATGGAGACGAATGCTAATGAGCGTAGGATCTGAACAAAGGTAAGAGGAGAGATGGGAAAATGCAGGGAACTCAAAATGGTTTCAGGAACAGTAAGTTCAGTGTTTTGAGGAAACAGCAAAGAGTCCCTTTATGAGTGAAAAAATAGTTTAGGTCCAGAGGCTTTGAATACCCAATAGGAAGTTTAGACTTTATTCTGATGTTAAGGGCTGAATCCTTTGAGAGTTTGGTTGTTAATTTGTTTTAATAGCATAATAAAATAAGAATTGTTATTTAGGAAAGATTACTAGCAGCTTTATGAAAAATGAAGAAAGGGAAAGAGAAGCAGGAAAACTAGTCTCAGTGGCTGTTAAAATAATTGAGAAAGCTATAAATGGCCCTAATATGCTTATAGAGAGGAAAAAACAAGTACAAGCATCTAGCCTCAATCTGACTTAGCGATGGTTTAATGATGAAGGCAGGACAGGATGAGGAATCAGTGTTAGATTCGTGGTTTGACAGCAGTCCTGGGGAAGCCAGAAGCAGCAGGTTGGGGGAGGAAGTGAAACCACTGTAGGCCTCATTGACTAGGAATTATGACACATCCTCGTGTAAAAAGCAGTCAGATGCTTTGGACTGCTAACTCCTTCAACACTGACAATTTTGAGTAAAAATAATAATAATAAAAAGCAGTATCGATCATGTACTCCCTATGTCAGCCATTGTTTTTACCATGAACTCATTTGGTTATTACAACAGTACTTTAAAGTGAATAGTATCATGCTACACTTTACATAAATTAAGCAAAATATAAGGTCTGGCATGAATTAAGTATGTACTATAAAAAGTAGTGCAGTCATGGTTTAAGGAAGTGAGCTCAGAACTGGAAGATTGGTAGGCTGTAGATTGTGACTCCCTGCCTCACTTTCCACACCTGCAGACTGTAGAATCCTGCTGTGCAGGTTGGCTGTGTGTGGATAAATGAGGAAGGATGTTAAGATTCTGTGTTCTTGAGACAAAGGGAGCTGAATGAATTCAAGAGGGTATTCATAGGAAGCAGCTGTGAAGGGATGTCATTGCTCTTGGAATGAAGCAGGTGAGGGCACACGGTGACATCTCAACTTCTCTGCTATCTCAGAGGTGGTGATGTCATGGGAAGAGGCCTGACTAGAGGTCACAGTCTCTGGGTTCCAGTTCTAGAGCAATCTCTCTTATTCATCACTTAATTAATGAATTCAAAGAGTAGTTCTCATCCATCCTTTATTTCCCTGTGACATGGATGGTGTTCTATGTGCTCAGCAGCATGGGGCACCTTCGTTTTGATAAGACCTCCATGTCTGTAGAGAAGTAAAGCAATGCTGCAGGGCTTTGGGGCATGACTGCCATGGGCACTTCAGTAATTTAATTATCCATGTAGGAATATTTTAAGGCATTTGGCAATGAAGTAAATATAGCTAAATTAATTTTTTAAATGTAATGTTTTAAAAAAATGTTTGAAGCTGGGCATGGCAGGGCACTGCTATAATCCCTACACTAGAAGGCTGAAGCAGGAGGAGTGCAGGTTCAAGGCCAGCCTGGGCTACATGGCCAGACCCTGCCTCACAAAAACAAAAACCAAAAATATTTGGAGTATTTATTTTTGTGCTCCTAGCTGTTTATTTGTAACAAAACAAGCAAATGTATACCAAATTTTAATATAAAAATGTACAGATTTTACTTTAAATTTGTTAGAATTGTCATCACAAATTTCACTTACATCATAACTTTATTTTGGTAGTTATGACAGTTGTAATAATATCAGACATAACTTTCACCTCCTCTTTCTGTAGTGTGTAGTTGAATTACTCTATTGGACATTTACCTTATTAGTGACTAACCTAACTGTGTAAAGTGCATAAAATGAAAAATGCAGACTTTCATCACTTAAAATCCTTAATTTTACAAATCAAATCCAGTAGTATATTAAGGTATAATTCACTATGACAGACTAGATTTTATTCCAGGTATATGAGTCAGTTTAGAAAATATGTCAGTGCTCTATGTTATATTTATAGGTTATGATAAAAAATCTGAAATTCATAGTCTTTCTTGGAGAAACCAGTAACAGTTAATCAAAACTAATTAGGATAGAAACTCCCTCAGCAACGAATAGGTAAGTAACTATATCCCAATCCCAAGAGCAAAAATTGCCTACTGTCATTGCTGTTCATCTGCATTGCACTGGGGGGGTTTGATGAGAGAACTAACATAGGAGGGGAGAATAAGAAGGAAAAAAAGGAGGGATAGTAGAGCAGCTCAACCAGTAAAAGTGCCTGCCTAGCAAGTGTGAGGCCCTGAGTTCAAATTCTAGTACCACAAAAAAATGATAGATAGATATAGAAGGAAAAAAGGAGATAAATATCAGAAACAAAGAGGATCATTTTTAGCTACAGGTAGTAGTCATTTTCTAGCCTGGTGGCTCACACTTTTAATCCTGGCTCCTTGGGAGGCTGAGATCGGAAGGATTGCAGTTTGATGCCCCATTTCCAAAATAACCAGAGCAAAATGGAGTCAAACACGTGTCTTGGAAGTGAGAAGTCCTGAGTTCAACTCAAGTCCCACAAAAAAAAAATAGTTATTTTCTGATAATGCTCTTGATTTTCTATCAGAACTAGTAAGAGTTCAATTAGATGACTAGAGAGAAAATCAGTGTACCAACAAGCAGTACACAGTTTGAAAATTTAATATTAAAAATTCTACTTAGTTTCTAAAATGCCAAAATGCTGAGAAGTATACAATAAATGTACAAGGTCCCTGTATGAAGGAAACTCACTTTTAATCAAGGAACAAGAATGACCCAAATGTGGATAAATGGAGGGAAATACCATGTCCTGGATAAAAACACATAATCCATGTATTCTTACCACCTTTATAAATACTATCTCTCCCTTGCCTGACAAAAAAGGGGTGCTTAACAGCTACTTGTGCTCGACACTTTTTGGGGTACTTGGTATATTGTTGCGTTTAATTGCACCTTCATTTAGGGAGAATTGATATTTTTACAGTATTGGGTCTCTGTTGAAAAGAAAAGCCCTGCCTTCATGGAGTTTATGCTCTACTGGTTGCATCTAGGCCACATGAGTGACCACTGCTGTTGGCTTATTTGTAAAATGATTAGGGAAAGACTTGGAGGACATCAACTCTGAGCAGAGACCTAACACAAGTTGAGCATCCCTAACCCAAAAACCCAAAATCTGAAATACTCCAAAATCCAAAACCTTTTCAGTGCCAACATTGATGCCACAAGTGGAAAATTCCTCACCTGACCTCATGTGACATTTTAGTCAAAACACGAGTGTGCTAGCTGCTGCTGGTTCACACCTATAATCCTAGCTACTTAGGAGGCAGAGATGAGGATCACGGTTTGAAGCCAGTCTGGTCAAATAGTTTGTGAGACCCTATCTTGAAAAAACCTGTCACTAAAAACAGGGCTGGTGGAGTGGCTCAAAGAGTAGGCCCTGAGTTCAAACACCAGTACTGCAAAAAAACAAAACAAAAACAGGTGCATTGAGAATACTGTGATCTTTCTCCTGTGTTCCTTTCCCAGGTGAAAGTCAGCTCTGCTGTGCTCAAAGCTGCAGCCCATCACTATGGTGCTCAGTGTGATAAACCCAACAAGGAGTTCATGCTTTGCCGCTGGGAAGAGAAGGATCCTAGAAGGTGTCTAGAGGAAGGCAAGCTGGTCAACAAGTGTGCTCTGGACTTCTTTAGGTAAGAATCTTTTTTTGGGGAACCAAAAGGGGTCGGTTTTTGAACTCAGGGCCTCAGGCTTGTTGGCAGGTGCTCTACCACTTGAGCCACTCCATCAGCCGTTTTTTGTGTTAGGTATTTTCAAGATAGAGTCTCACAAACTGTTTACTTGGGGTTAACTTCAAACCGAGATCCTGCTCATCTATGCCTCCTGAGTAGCTAGGTTATAGGTATGAGCCACCTGTGCCCGGCTGGTAAGAATCTTTTGGTATCAGTGCCTTTGTGGTTGAAAGATCAAGTTACTCTGAAGTACGTAAGTAAGCATCCAGCTGTTTACATGGAAGGGTAATTTTATTAGGAAGTTTGAAGGCTCTGAAATCAGATAGACTAATGATAGTTGTTTTTGTTTTTATTATGTGGCAAGTTCTTTAATCTCCCTGGATCTCAGTTTCCAAACTGTAAATGGTGCATATGATAGGTTTTATATCATATACAGTATTGCTGTGGAAATTTTGAAAAGGCAAATAAAACCAACTCAGCACAGTGCTTGTTAGCCATTCACTAGACTGTTATCATTAGTAAGAATACACAGTTGTGATGGAAAGACAAGTGTTGAGTCAGACTTCTAGGTAGGCCACTGTGCTTGTCACTTAAGTGCAGAAATCTAAGATGCATAATTATAGAAAAATGTTTTAACCATAGTAGGCAGAGCTCTGTTAAAAGGGACAGAAACTCAACTCAGAAGAAATTGGCTTTTTAACTGTGAAGTCCAGAAATAGGCCTGGCATCAGGCAGGACTGGACTCAAGGGCTTAATGACCTCAGAACCACTTGATGTCTTTTGTCTCTTTTCTCCCCTCTTTCTCTGTTGACTTTATTTTCAAAGAGACTCTCCTTGCTGTAGTGGAAATGGCCACCAGCTACGTGAAACTGCTATTCTCCTTGGGTAGTTAGTGTGACAGAGTGCCATTTCTTCAGTGCTGTGAGCAGAGTGCCTGCCCTGAGTTGGGTCATCCTGGCTCACTGACTTGTATGCATATTGTTATAGCAGTTGTGCCTCAGGAGATAAAATGCTCTGATTGGTAAGGACTAAGTGGGGAATAGTCTTAGCTTTATCCAAACCACATTGCTGAGAGACAGGGAGGGGTTGTTTCCCAAAGGAAAATCACAAGGATGTTACAGAAGAACGGGGAATGACTGCTGGCTAGGCAGAAACCACAGATGTCCACTACAGTGACGTTAGAGGGGAAAATAAAATATCTTAGCACAATAGCTGCTTTCCTTCTTTCTTGCCTGTTCTTTGTCCACATGCAGAGATTTTTGTTCACATGCAAAGAGATTTTTGTGGTTATAATCAGTTTGTGTATTTTAAAAAGTGATTTTTCACTTGAAATTATTGGAAACATTTTTTCAAGTCACTATATAGTCTTCATGATTATTGCTTTTAATGGCTATATAATAATCCATCAGTAGTTGAACCAACTATAATATACCTGTCCAATTCCTGCTAGTGAACATCACTGATAGTTTGTTTCAGATTTGATTATTTTGTTTAAATCTTTAGTGATCACCTTTGTTTGTAAATAGCTCTTCTTCATTTTTTGGTCTGTTTTTTGTTTGTTTGTTTTTGGTGGTACTACGATTTTGAACTCAGGGCTTCTCCATGCTTGCTGGGTAGGCACTCTACCACTTGAGCCATTCCGCCAGCCCTCTTTTTCATCTTTTAAATTAGTTCCGTGGTATAACTTTCCCAGCATTGATACCTTTCTTTCTCCCCTCTTCTCCCTTTCTTCCTTTTTTCTTTCTTTTTGGCAGTTACTGGGGTTTGAACTCAGGGCTGGCGAGATATTTTCTTTCTCAAAATGTTTTGAGCATTATTTATAGCTCTTCAGCTTTGGCCTTTTTTAATTTGTTTTTTTTTAAAGGTTTGGATCAGCTTTTGCTGTCATTAGCACTGCATCCTGGTATGCATATTACTTGTTACTTAAATATTTGATAGGTACAATATGGTATTCTGTCATGCTTGAATTTGCATTAATCTAATTGTTAATAGGTTGAATATGTATTTACTTATTTCAAAAAAAATTATTTTCTGAGAGAACTTTGGCAAAGCATTTTTGCTGAGATCCAGAGGTAGAATGTTTTAAGTGGGAAACGTTTGGATTTCACAAATTCCCAAGGTTTCTCACTGCACCTCTCAGAGGGGTTTCTCACTGCTGACATTGCTTATGTAGTCTTAGTAGATGATAGTCTGCCAGACATGGGCAACAGGGTGCAGAAAAGGAATCTACAGTGCTAGAGCACTTGGCAGGCAGCTTCTCTGCTACTGCAGTGTGGAAGAGTACAGAGCTCCCACTGGAAACGGTAGCTTTCTACCAGTGAAATTGATTCTGAGTTCAGGTTATGCCTACCACACCTGCAGGTACCTAGGACACTAGTGACATTGGTAACTCCCAGGAGGGGAGCTTGTGGTGGTAGGGCAGGACTCGAAGACAGATTTTTGCTATATACTTCCTTAGACCTCTTCTGATGCTTCTCCTGAGACATTTTAAAGAAGATCTGGTTTTGGGAGGGAGCTAAGATTGCTGGAGTAGGGCAGGTGAGCACTTCATAATCATTATTCCTTTGGTGGAAGAGGTTCTGAATTCCTCCCACTGTCTCAATAGGGCTTTTATGTAAAACAATGGTATTTTATTCATGCTTGAATCTGCATTTATTTTAATATTAGCAGGGTTGAATGATAACAGAAGGGAAGTTTTGCAAAACAACTGAAGATACACCTTTTTTTATTCATAGAAGTGGCATTTTCTCAGACATTGTTTGTCATTGTTATTGTTAATAGGGTTTGAACTCTAGGCCTCACACTTGCTTAGACAGCTGCTCTACCACCTGAGCTATGCCCTTGGCCCTCTGCAGACATTTTTGATGTCACAAGATGAATTATATGCTGCACTATTTCTTAACAGAGAGCAGCAAATATAATTAACTTTCTTCTTGATAACAAGGATTATACTTTTGTTTGATGCATTAATAGAATGAAGACTTCAAGTTTTTGAGGAGTAGAGGGAAGTTTGCTTCTATGAGTGACTCTAGGACTTTCTCTTATTAGTGTGTATGTTTGCTTTTTGAAATGCTGTCTCCTCCTTTGCCATTGTCTGTCACCTCTGACTTCTGTCAGCATGTCCATCTCTGACTATGCTTCCTTCTTTTCTAAGTTGGCTCAGCTGATAACTGTTGAGGATTGGATTTAAAGAAAAGAATAAATAGGCCCCAAAGGAGCTCTCCTCTTGAGTAAGATGTATGTGCCTTAGGCCATAATCTTTTCTTTTTGCTGCATAAAGTAGGTTTTTTCCTCAGCAATCTTTTTTTAAACTTCTTGGTTCTCAACTTGAAGGTCTTTAAATCATCTTGTAAGTTAGCAATGTTTACTCCCCATAGTTTTCAGAAAGCAAGGCCCTGTCTAGGTGCCCAACAACTGATGAATAGATAAAGTGTGTGTGTGTGTGTGTGTGTGTGTGTGTGTGTGTGTGTATAGAAACCATGGAATATTACTCACCCATAAAGAAAAGTAAAATTATGTCATTTGCAGGAAAGTGGATGGAACTGAAGATCATCTTGCTGAGTGAGATGAGCAAAGTTCATAAAGCCAAGTATGGCATGTTCTCACTCGTTTGCGGAGCCTAGATCTAGATGATGATAAGGAGACATGAATGTAAATGAGGGATGACTGGGGGTAGGGATTAGCAGGAGAGGGGGAGGAGGAGAGGAAAAAACACTGAGGGGTGAAGAGGATCGAAGTACCCTATGTATATTCATATGAAGGCAGCATAATGAAACCCACCAAACACTTGCTTGAAAAACCAGGGGTGAAGAGGGGGAATGGAAATATAATTGAGGTGCTGAACCAGTTTCAAGGTATACTTTGCACATTACCACAATGAAATTGCCTCATATGATTAATGGGTGCTAATTCAGATAAGATTGGGAGTGTTCAGGGTGGTATGGCACAGATGATGTGTGCTGATCGAAAACTAAAATTTTAAAGAAAAGACAAGGCGATGTACTTGCTATTTGTGTCTGGTGTTTTTTTTGTTGTTGTTGTTCATGCTTCTCTATTTTTCATTGTTTTGCGAAGAGCTACCACTAACCTCTAGCTCTCCTTTCCAGGCAGATAAAGCGCCACTGTGCAGAGCCTTTTACAGAATATTGGACTTGCATCGATTATTCCAATCTGCAATTATTTCGTTACTGTCGCAAGCAGCAGGCAAAATTTGATGAGTGTGTGCTGGACAAACTGGGCTGGGTGCGGCCTGATCTAGGAGAACTATCAAAGGTAAGAGGCTCCTGCAGGGCCTCAGACCCAGAGTGAGGGATGGGGCAGAGGCAGGAGGTGCAGAAGGGGGTCTCCATGGGATAGGAAGGATGTGAGAAGTCACATTTACCAACTAGATTAATTAGGGAGTGATTATACACAATCCAGAGGGAGTGTTTCAATAGAAATATACCTGTAAATAGACCTTCTAGCATGTGCAGATTTGTTTTTGGTTAATTAGCTAATTGAAGAGCAGAGGGAGCAGAGGTTGGTTAAACAAAATGTTAGTGAAACACTGTCAGTCAAAAACATCCTTGAGGTTGTGGTGGAATTCATTGGGGAATTAGGATCAACTCCTGCCAGAGTTTTGGGGAACCTAAGATTTAAAAAGTACACGCTTGCCATATGCCAGTGGCTCAGGCCTATAATTCTGGTTACTTGGGAGGCTAAGATCCGGGATGATCGTGGGTTGAGGCCAGCTTGAGCAAATAATTCATGACACCCCATCTTTGAAATAGCCAGAGCAAAATGGACTGAAGGTGTGGCTCAAGCAGTAGAGTACCTGTTTTGCAAGTGGGGAGCCCAAAGCTCCAGTCCCAAATAAATAAATAAATAAAAATAAAATACATACATAAATAAAAGTACGTGGTTGTAGCTAAAAAGTTTGTTTTCCTTCTCTTTCTCCTATGTTTGTTGTGACATTACCATCTGTTGAAACGTCAGACCCAAAGCCCAGATGTCTTTATTCTTCACTCCCAACTCTTTTTTTAATCCCATTTGATCAGGAGTAGATTAGCTTTAGCTGGAATATGTATATTTTTTAATCTTCTCATTGAACACTCTGCTGTTACCATCTTGGAGAGGAGTCCTTAACAGAGCTACTTGCATTTCTGGGAAGGGAAGTGGATCAATTTGGGCCTTAGACTTTACATTCATTCTCTGAAATTGAAGAATTTAGAGATAAAACTACATCTTCACTGTAGGAGTGATCTGTATGGAAAATAAATCAGGAATCACTCTCCTTTTAAAACCTTTTAGGGACACTCCATTATAGAGAGATAAAGCATCCTCTCTATATCATGCATGGCATGTGAGACCCTTAGTGGTCTGACCCTTCTTGCTGCTTCAGCTTAGGTGTCCTCCATTCCTTCTGGGCCAGCACACGTGGCAAGGCATGGAGGGAAACATAAGTTTTGAGTGGACACAAATAGTAGATTTGAATCTTGGTGCTACTGCGTAATTGATACGGGATCTTGAGCAAATTCCTGTTCTGCCACATCTACAGTAGATCAGGAATCCACCTTCCTCTGAGAATTACAACAAAGAGCCCATGTGAATCCCTCCAGTACCTAGGCACATAGGTTCACAGTTATTCTTAGCCCTTTTTCCTTTGTGTATAGCATCTGATTACTGAGTTCAGAAGCTTAGTGTTATAAGTAGCAGAATAACTTAAGTCATATTTTTTTTGTACTTGGTGTACTCATCTTTCCCTCACATATTTTCTTTTGCTACACTGAACACATTAATAGCAAATCATGCTATTAATAAAATGTATTTATTCTTGAGTCTTTGTTTTAGCAATAAAAAAAAAAACCCTGAAAGTGAAATTATTATTTTTACTTTTAGAAGTGTATTTTTTGAAGTATACTGTTAGTTTTAGTTACACTTCAATTCAGTATCCAGTCTCTTCCTAGAAAGGTGGTAATCAGCTGAGTAAAGCCTGAGTTGCAGCTTTATTCACTTTTGTATTTTGTTCCCATCTGATTACTTGTCCCTCCTATGGTCCCTTGGTGAATTCTTACCTATTCATCTGGTGTTAGTTTATGTGTCATGTCTTGGTCTTCTCTGAAGTTTGTGACCTTCCTAGGCAGAATTGCTCTTACCTGTAAACCCATCATCCTGTTGATGTTGAAAGTAACGATGGAGCACCTATATCCTTTGGGTAGTTAGTGTATATTTTTCTACTTTATTTCAATAACCCTGTGAGCTACTCATAGCTCCATTTTACAGATGGAAGTTAAATAGGCTGCCCAAAGTTATTTACTTAGTAATTGGTTTGACCGTATGCCTCTGCCCATTTTTTGGGGGGGGATGGTATGGAAGAGGAAGTTGCTTTATTGTTTTCCTCAATAATTTGTTCTTTCAAGAGGTCCTTGATTACTGTAAGCTTGAGAAACCATTTTTCTGGATTTATCTAATAAGTACCTTGAATTCTTTAAAAGAACTTCAAATATCAGCTAGAGGCATTTGAAATTACTTTCAAGCAATAAGGAACCTTTAGTGATCTCTACTTATGGCAGAGGGATGGGAAAACTGTTTCCAGAACAAGCAAACAACATAGCACTCTGGACTCCAAAGACTTGAGTTCTAGTTCCAGCCTGATGTTACCATGTATTATTATCTTAGTCAAGTCAGTCTCCCTGGTCCTCACCTGTGAGCCAGAGGTAATAAATGCCACATAGGGTGTTATAAGTAATTTTGTGATGGAATATCCAAAAGCTTTGATCACAAAAAATAGTTTCTGAATTTGTACATCATGCAGATCAATCTGATCATATGTGGGGCAGCTCAGAATTCGTACCCTAGAGTAGTAATCAGGAGATGGTTAATAATTATGGCCCTCTTATCTGTGCCTGGTTCCTCATCTTTAAGACGAATATTTTCTGCTGGCTTTCCAATTGAGATTTTTTTTTTTTCTGCTGGGACTGGGGTTTGAATTCAGGGCTTTTGCAAAGCAGATGCTCTAACACTTGACCCACACCTTTTGGAAATGGGGTCTTGCAAACTATTTGCTTGGACTCACCTCCAACCTTGATCCTTGATCCTCCCATTCTCAGTTTCCCAAATAATTAGGATTACAGGTGTGAGCTTCTGACACCTGGTGAGATTTGGGTGGCCATTGGGAATGGTATGGGTGTGAATATCTCTATCTCCCTGTTGGAGTTCAGTATTTCATCATCTTACTTGGCCTATTAGCTCAGCTTCCCAGTTCTGGTCTTTCCTTTCTCTAGCTTCCCCACTTTCCAGCCTATAGATGTGATTGGCTACTTCTCCACTTCAGTGGCATCTGTTACCATCAAATTCAAATCCAGGCACCTTTGCACATCATTTAGTACCCTTTGTCTTCCAGTGCTGTGTACAAGTGTTGCATGGTATTCAAAAATACAGAGTTGTACACATGTATGTAAATGGAAAAATTAGTCCTATTGAAACTATTCCAGGAATGGGGGAAGATAAAGGAGAATGATGGAGGGGTGAATTCAAGTATGATATATTTGATATGTTGTAAGAACTCTTGTAAATGCCACAATGTACCCCCAGCACAACAATTTAAAAAAAAAAGTGCAGAGTTATTTAGGAGTAAGTAGGCAGATCTGGCTTTGTGTCGTAGTTCTGCTGATAGTGCAATGGCCTCAGTGAACCTGTGCAAAATGACCTCATAGGAGTGGGAGAATGAATGGAATAATGTGCTCAGCATCCTTGCTGACATTAAGAGAGCGGTTAAGTGCTTCAGCTCCCCCACTTCCTGCAGCGTTTGCTCCGGCTACTCTGTCCTCATATGTACTCTTTGTTCACTCTCAGTGTCTTCCTCATAATCTTCCTGGCTGACTCCTGTTCTTCCTTCAAGATTAAACTAAATGTTAGCTCTTCAGAAATAGTCCAGGTCCCCCAGCCTGTGGTGTGGATGAGTATACAGAATCCTTTTCCCTTCCCACACAGTTCATGTCTCCGTTATGGTCATTAGGTAATAGAGAAATCCTCATCAATATTCTTTTGTTTTGTTTTTGCTTGGGGTTTGAACTCAGGGCATTATTTGCTACACCACTTGAGATACACCTCCAGCCCTTTTTGCTTATAACTTATTTTTCATATAGTCTTGTTTTTGCTTGGGTCAGGCTCCAACCACAGCTAGGCTTCTTGCCTAGCTGGGATCACAGGCATTTGCCACTATGCCCAGCTTGTTTGTTGAGATGGGGCCTTAAACCTTGATCCTCCCAATCTCTGCCTCCCGCATAGCTGGAGCTACTGTTCCCAGTCTTGGTTGATACTCTTGTCTGTATCCCTTAGTAGACAGTGAGTCCCTTGAGCATAGTGTATTTCTTGTTCCCTTCTGTATCCCCGACTTCCACCATGTGAAATGATGTTTGTTTAAGGACTAAATGAGTCTAAATGTGAATTGCTGGGGCTTTAAAGTCAGGGAGTAGTTGAGCAGTAGGAATAGAGAGGAGACACCAGAGGGCTCACATAAGGTCACAAACAACTCTAACCTTACTTTCAACTTTGCCTCTTCCTTCTTCACCCTTCCCAGGTCACCAAAGTGAAAACAGATCGACCTTTACCAGAGAATCCCTATCACTCAAGACCAAGACCGGAGCCCAACCCCGAGATAGAAGGGGATCTGAAGCCTGCCAAACACGGCAGCCGCCTTTTTTTCTGGACCATGTAAGGATGGGTCCACAGCCCACACTCAGTCATGCACCCAGACAGCAACAGATGAAAACGCCCATGCAGTTTGCATCAGCCGATAGAGTGTTCTTTCCCGGATCACAGACATTAACAAAAAAGTTAATTTATGTGACTTGGCAGTTATTCTATACCATTTCCTGTCCATTAAAAATTTTAAAGGAAACAGTTATATTTTATTATGTTTTATGTAACCTTGTGACCTTTAAAGATGACTTACTCTTGCTTTTTCTTCTTGAAGTCCTGCCTGTTCCTCTCACTTTGCTTTAAGTAGGACTTTCCCACTAGTGTGGCAGGGGAGCCACCATAGAACTTGAAGGAATGACTGTGTAAAGCTGTATTGTTACCTGAAACAGCTCACTGGGGTGTGTCTGTTCATATATTTTGAGGTCTCACCTCTTCCTCCACATCCAACATTTCGAGCAACTATTTCCCTAGAGGTCATTCCAGAGAAACATCCAGGATAGGCATAAAGAAATGTTTGAGCCTTGTGACTCAGGACACGGGAGGGGCTCCTGGCTGGGTGTTAGGCTGTCTTGCTCAAAGTTTCTTAAAGAACCTAACTTCCACCATTTCCCCTTGATATCCCATCCTCAAGCATTATAACCCAGATGTTTTTCCTGATAGACAAGGGAGGTGGAGGCTGAGCTCCCAGCTCCAAAGCCAGGAAGTCAGGAGGTCTGAGTGTCAATTCCAACCTTGGGTGTGTTCCTTAACCTCTTGTGAGAGGTTGGGTCTGAGGACAAACTAAAGGGCACATGCTTATCTACCTCCTGCGCAGGTTAGAGCCACAAGTGTTTACAAAGCTGTTTGGTTCAAAGCACTGTAGCCCCCCCTCATAGCCCCCTTCATTCAATTCCCTTTTCATCACTAGGCTATTTCCTCTCCATCTGGCTGGGTCACTGTCCACCTTCTGGTTGTAGTTTGATATTGCATAGGACCCTGCACAAGTCATCTCAACTCCCTGGGCTTTGGTTTCTCTGTAGATCTGTAAAAAAGTGAATTGGACAAGTGTGTTTCTTAAGTCTCCTCCAACTTTGCTGTGTTCTATAGGTGGGGAGGTTGCTAGGAGGCATTAGACAGATGAGGTACAGAATTTTATTACCTGAAGTGTTCAAGGCCAAGCGTTGTGTGATCTGCCATGCCCCTGACACCTCTGCTGACCCCACAATTGGAAGCATTTTGTATGAAACTCCCACTTTTCTGCAAAAGTACCTTGCCGTTGCCTCAGATTTTCCAACTTAAAGAATAGGCCCTTCTTGCATTTTGAAAATAGCTGAGGCAAAGTTCATTAACCACTTGGTGTAGTCATTAATTAGAAGTCTCCTCTGGTGAGTAAAGTAAGAGCATGGTTACAGACTGGCATGTATACAATATTTCAAGTCACATTGCTTTCCGCTTTCTCTTGCAAAGGAAGCTGGATCTTGTGTAAATAATAACAAAACACTCATCAAACAGTGTGCATCATGCTGAGTGTTTCACATATGTCAGTTCCTTCCATGGTCAGAGCCTTTGAAAGTGATACCATTTTATGTCAAACCCATTTCACAGATGAAGGAGCAAAAGCTTAGGGAGAGGTAAAGAGATCCCAGCCTCATAGAAGAAGTGGTAGATACAGGATACAAATGAAGAATTGGCTAGTTCTGATGGCCACACTTGTCCTTCAAAGCCATCAGTGGCTCTTATCCTTGGATGCATGTTAGAGACACCTGGGAACTTTTAAATACTGATTTCTGGAGCTCATCCCCAAAGTTTGTGTTCTAATTGGTCTGTTATGTGGACTCTGGGATTTTTGAAAGCTCCCCAGGCTGTTCTCATGTCAAACCAAGGTGTGTGGCTATGGACAGATTTTATATATGAAAAAGCAGGTCAGGAAGTTACATGCTGGTCAGTAGTAAGTGACCACACTGAGGTTTAAACCCCGTTTGGCCGGGAGGGTAGCTCAAGTGGTAGAGCACTTACCTATTAAGTGCAACGACCTGAGTTCAAACCCCTGTACTGCTAAACGCATTCAATCTGATGGCAAAAATATCCATAATATAAACCAGTGCATATGAATCACAAGGAAATCTTGTTAAATTGAAAAAACTGATTCAGTAGGGCTGGGTGGGACCTGAGATTTCTAATAATGCTGATCCATTGACTATACATGGGTAATAAGGGAATAAACCATAATGGCCCTTGATTGCAGGGATCTGCCTGGCTAATCTATTCCACTGCAATGTTTAGCACTGGTCACTCCCCAAATATTAATTCACCCCTTCAGAATCAGGGCAACACGTTCTGAACTGTTAATGGCTTCAAATTCAATTCTAGGATGTTTTAACTTTTACCTAAGTTGGACAGCAGTTCTTGTCTTCCCCTCTCCCCAGCTTGCTTTGAATTCCTTGAACAAAGGAACCAACTTTTGGCTTTCCTGTACTCTTGATGGAATTACACGACATCATAGACTTCTAGGACAGAAGGGTCTAAGTAATTAACGATAATAATTTCTTACAACAAATGCACGTCTCAATGTCAGTAGGTAAAAGGTCACAGAACAGTTTGAAAGCAGTTAGTGTGAAAGATTCCTGAGCAGGCTACAAAGAATAGAAAATCTTCCTACTAGTTTGGCTTGACTATAATGACACTTAATTCCTTACATTCCCAAAGGAAGTTTATCTGCCCCCTTTTCCTCTGCCAAGTCTGTTCCTGTCTTCCCTATCTGAGTTCATGTTGTCTCCATCCTCCCAGTGTCAAAACATGAGAAGAATCTTTGGCTCTTGCCACTCACTCCTTTCCAACTTCTAATCCAACACCAAATCCTGTTGAGTTTCTTCTTTAATCTCTCACATTTGCTACTTCCTCTTTTATCTCACTGTCCCTGTTCTAGGGTGTTTTTGTTCCCCTTGCCTGGATTATTAAAACTACTTCCTAATTGGTTTCCTTTTACCATCTCCCCATTCAGTCCATCCTCCATGCCTCTGCTGCTCAAACACCACCACTGGCTCCCAAATCCTTATTGGCATTCTGATAGTCACATGTGGTCCTAGCCTAGCCTCTTTTTCCCTTCTTATGTGTCCTATGCTGTACCAAACGCCATTCCTCGATTCCTTTCCAACTTCTAAATCTATACTACTATCTGTAGCCAGGAAAATGTCTTTCCCCCATCTCTGCCTTTTGAACCTCTACCCATCTTTAAAGACAAACACTCGTCCTGTTTTCCCCAGGAAGCATCCTCTTCCTACAATCAGAAGTGGTCTTTCCTGCTCCATTGTTCCCAAGACAGAATATAGTATGATGGCTGAGCACGAGGGCTCTGAAATTGGGTTGTCTGGATTTGAATGTAGGCCTTATCAATTTGGAACTTTGTGACCCTAGACCAGTTCCTTGACCAGTCTATACCTTTCATTCCTCATCTGCCAAAAACATGTGTATGTGTGTGTGGGGGGGGGAGGATTTATAGTACCTACTTTCTGATGTGGACATAAGTATTTGGTGAGTTATATACCTGAGAAGTACATCACAGTGTTGACAAATGGCAGCATGGTTGTAACACTCCAAGCATATGACACCAGAGTCATAGTACTGGGTGTGTCTTATTTTTCTGGTCCCAGTACTGCAGGAGTAGGACTTCTATCTTATTTTACTTTCTATATCCTAGAGCCCACTATATGACAGACATCTAGGAAATGACTAACTGTTCACCAGGTTTATTTTTCCAGAGAAGTTCCAATTCCACCCCAACTACAAAACCACAAACAAACAAATGTTTTCTGTGTAGAAATAGGAGTAACTCTTGGAGGCTAAATTGCTATCTTCACAGGTATCAAATCCTAGCTGTAATACTTTGAGTATTATAAAGGACATGTTCTCATGCTCTGGTACAGATCCCAATGGGCTTTAAAAAGTTAATTCTACCACATAGGAAATTTCAGTTTGGGGGTCATGATGTCTTTGTGGGCCTTGATCATTTATGGTATGTATTTCAAGTATGTATTCTTATGCTTAAATAAGAAATTGAAATTTGCAACTATGTGTACTTTGCTTCGTATATGGAAAGTAGTAGGTCTGGGAAACAAATAATGGTTGTTTGGTTCCAATGGTCACATTCATTTTTAAATTTAAATTTTATAATTATTGATGCATATTGTACAAAATAATGGGTCTCACTGTGACATCTCAATACATTCATATATCCCTCCCCTCCCATTTCCCCTTTCTCCAAGTTCCCTACCCCATTCCTAATAGTCCCTCTTCTACTTTCAGCTTATTTTTAACTTTCTGCATATGAGAGAAAACACAACAATGTGATATTTGTTTATGTGTGGCTTATTTCACTTAACATGGTGTCCTCTAGTTCCATCCATTTGAAAAGGGATATGATTTTGAAACCATCTTTTTAAATCTTTTAAACACATCTTTCGATGGGTAAGCGATAAAATTTTCATCTATATTCATAAATACATAGTTCTGACTAAATTCACTATAAAATGAGTCTAAAAAACAAGTAGCCACACTCTTACCCTTCAAGGTTGTCAGGTCTCAGCCTAGGACGCACATTGAAGGCACCAGGAGACATTGGAATACTGATGTCTGGATCCTATCCCTAGAGATTTTAATTGGTCTAAGGAGTGACTTGGACATAGAGATTTTATAATAAACAATGACACTCTTGCTCGTTTATACTCATATATTCTTCGTTCAGTGGGAGAAAGGGATGTGGTTGCAGCTAAAACTGAGAATACATTATTAATCAATTAGTTAATTCATCCAGGCAATATTTTACAGCCTACTATGTGCTAATGACCACGCAGACACAGACAATGAACAAAACAGACAGGCGCCTCCTCCCAAGGATCTTCTGTTCCCGTGGTGGAGGCAATAAACAGGTAAACACAGAAACAAGATGATTTGGCGTATGGTATAAGTTCTGAGAAGGCACTAAATGAGGTTAAGGTGGGAGTAAGTCACTGAGTAGTATGGAGGAGGTATGTCTAGGAAGAGAGGCCATGGAAAAGCTCTCAGGAGAAGTGGTATTTGAGAAGGAGTTGGAAGAGTGTCCCAGTGTGAGGGAACAGCAGATCCCTGAGCAAGAACAGAGAGAAAACTCTGGCTGGAGTATGGTTTTGTGTGTGAAAGCTCAATGCAGGTTACAGCTTATTTACTGTTGCCTTTGTCTTGATG